CCCTTCATCATTTAGGAGCTAGGCTGCACGCACCCTGCTTATCACCAATGTCAGGGCCAACCCAGGCAGAGAGGGAGAAAACATCCCAGGAGAAAGATGGAGATCCTCACTGAAAGATTTCCCTACCTCCAGAACTGAACTCATGCCTTCTGTGGTCAACAGCAAAACGCTCCACTATTACAGAACAGATGTCAGTCCACGACAAATTACACATCATAACACGCAACACGTGTCCACCTTCCCCCGCACGGTCACCCGTGTCTCAACACAGAGCCAGGGATAGAGAAATAACAGTTGATCTTTCTACAGAAATAACAGAAGATCTATAATATATTCATTTATTATCTTCACAACACAGAGGAATCAGGAGCTCATCAATTTTGGGCCATATGGAATTGTTGGTATATCTTAAAGCTTGTTCATTTCCCTTGCTTTTAATAGAAAAAATACCCATGTATCTTGAATAGGTATCTTATATACCTGCGACTGAAGGAGGTGGGGATCGCCTGGTGTCAGAATTAAAATTAGTGAGAAAATGGTTGCCAAAGTTTGGTGATTTCCTAATCCTCAATGTCCTACAAAAGTACATTTTTTGTGCTTTTCACAAACCATTTTCATTCAAATCCACACAGAAGTAATACGTCTTTATATGACCATAAAAGGTGTGGGACCCCCCCAAAAAAAACAACCAAAAAAAAATTAAAATTTTTAAATAACATAAAAGTTTCCCAACAGATGGAAAAAAATGTGAGTTTCCTCGATTTCATTATTTTGATGTGCACGCTATTTCAGCCCAATGCCTCCCATCTTTAGAAATAAAAGTAGATCTAGAAAGAAACAGAGGTGGGCTGAAACTTTTCTTGTATTCAGAAGTAGCGTAAAAGATCCCATCATCATGCTCAACGAGGTCTGCGTTTCAAAGCTGAAGTTTCATTCTCCCCTCATTTTCGATATTTGTCTCTTTCCTTCTTTATTCCTTTTGGCTTCACTTGGTTTGCCGTACAAAACAGACGCACAACTTGTGGACGGTTGTCTGTAGTGTAGCAGTTTCATGCTCTACTGCCACATGCAAGAGACACGGGTTCAATTCCTGAAAGGGGATCATTTTTATCGAGTATCTCTGTCTTTGTGCTGGGATGTTGTATCCCTGTCTTTGTGCTGGGATGTTGTATCCCTCTGTCTTTCTGCTGGGATGTTGTATCCCTCTGTCTTTCTGCTGGGATGTTGTATCCCTCTGTCTTTGTGCTGGGATGTTGTATCCCTCTGTCTTTGTGCTGGGATGTTGTATCCCTCTGTCTTTGTGCTGGGATGTTGTATCC